CGTAAACTGTGTACACCAGACCGAAGGTGATTATTATCTCGAACACCAGACCTTCAATGGCTCCCAGTCCCGCCGCCACGCCGTGGGTCGGAATACTCTGCACAATACGGCGGCTCATTTTTTAAATTCTAGTAATTTTTTTTTYCTTTTTTAAGAAATTTCACTTTAAAAAATAACTATAGAAAAACAAGAGAGAAGAGAACTGTTTTAAATTTTAGAATTAATGAGAGATTAGAAAGGTAATTAAGTATTAATATATGAATGAAGCACCACTTCTTTTGGGTTTGAAAATTTGATATAAAGATAAAAGAATATGTATGTGTAAGTAGCGGTAGTAAAACTGACGATTTTATTTTTGACCGATAATAAAATTTAAATTTAGCCTTTTGTTAAAGGATTCCTAATAAAAAAATTTGTGAAAAAAGCATATTTTTTATAAATAGAAAACTAGAATTTGAAATGCTTCGTTTAATATACTAATGTTTTATTCTCAAAAAGGCTAAATCCAAATCCAAAAATTAAGGATAAAAAAAAGTATATATTGTTAAAAAAGAAAATTAAGTTTCATGTTCGTTTTTATTATTAAATCTCCTTATATTTTTAAATATTTAATTCTACTCGATAAATTTCTTCCCATGATAATCATTTTAGATATTATCACATTTTAAGAAAAATAAATTCGACTCATTTTTTGGTTCATTATTACTTTTATCAATAAGATATCTAAATGTATATAAATATTTTAAAATTATTTAGTAGGTCAAGTTTTTAACATTAATACATATATTTAGATTTTTGTTAAAGGATTCATAAAAAATAAGGACAATGACACAAATAGTTTTTTATGTAAAAAAGAACTTAATAAACTAAAATATAAAATTAATTAAATTCAAATACTTAAAAAGCTAGAAACGAAATTAAAAATAAAATACGGACAAAAATTTAAAAGAAAAAAGAAAGATTTAAACGAAAAAATGTTAGTCTTATGAAAGTCAATCAATTATTAGTAGTATTTTTTAAATAGTGATATATCCAATTGACTTTAACAAAAATGACAAATTTTCGTAATTAGTCTTTTTTCATAAATATACATTCACAAATTTTTAAGAGTCGTGACTACCCATTGCAACCATTTTTTTTTTAAGTTCAAGTGTTAAACTGCCAATTACCAACTCCAATTTTTTATTTTTTTTTTATTTTTTAGTACTTAACAACTCCAAAATGAAACAAATTTATCTCACTTGTTTATAAAAAAAATATAATCATAAGTAATATTATTATTATTACTCATTTTTACAAATTTTAATTAAAAATGTTTTATTCCTGTTTAGATTAATTATTTGAATATTACTGAATTAATTATTTAACGTTTTAATTAATTAATTTATTTTGTTTGATAACATTTTAATTAATTAATTTACAACATCTTTTTTTTTAACTAAACCAAATTTTCTTACACAAATCCAATAATTTTTGACAAAATTTTTTAATATATTCATGAATTGAATGGACGCTTTGAGTTTAAAGTTCTGTTAATTTTGTGTTAATTTGGTAGAAATTAGTGTACATATTATGACTGCAATCCTATCAAAATTATTTTCTAGTTGTTATCGTTTTCATCTAAATCTTCCTTCAATTTTGGATGATAATAAATAAAAAAAAGAGTTTATACCTTGCCGTTGGTAACAAATTGGAGGAGGAGGCAGGCGACAATGGAGCCAAGTGACTGGGCAATCCAGTAGAAGAGGCCGGTCAAGATGGTGATGTTGCCGCCGATGGCCAACCCGAAAGTCACCGCCGGGTTGAGGTGGCCACCGGAGATGTTGGCCGCCATAGACACTCCGACGAAGAGCGCGAATGCATGAGCCACCGCCACCGCCACCAGACCCGGCGGATCCAACGCCGCGTCCGACGTCAGCTTGCCGTAGGCGATGGCGGAGCCGACGCCGGCGAAGACGAAGAGGAGGGTGGCGATGAACTCAGACAGATATGCTTTCAGAGAAGCCACGCTGAAAGAATCACCGGGTGAGCCCAAAGCCAACTTCACCATTTTTCCTTTTTTTTTTATTCACACTTTGGTTTTCTCTGCCGGTGCCGGAGCTTAGGATTATGGGGTTTATATAACACCCAAACCACGTCGTTTTGCAATAAATTTATGATTTTCTTTTTCTTTTTTTACATGAAATATTTGTGGTCGTGGTTGAAAACGATCGGAGAGAGAGAATTGGCGCGGTGCCGACCAAACCGCCCTCGCTCCTTCTCATTGGTTCGCTTTATTATTTAATATTTACTTTTTAGTAATTATATATATTTTCAATAAAACTTATGCTTATTGATGAGTATTTTTGTTCACTACAACAAATTCAGAGTATAAATTTTGAAGGTTAAACTTCGTCTCCAAGGAGATACCATTTAAGTTCATAACTATTTTTTATCTTAGAGTATAAATTTTGAAGGTTAAACTTCGTCTCCAAGGAGATACCATTTAAGTTCATAACTATTTTTTATCTTCAAAATTATACGATAACTAAAAGAGAGGAATGCATAGTAAAAGAGAAAATAAAATAATTAGTGGTCAAATTTTTAACGATGTTAAGTAGGAAGATATCTACTTATGGGTAAACATCTAAGTTTTATCTATTTTTCGTTAAGAATAAAAAAAAAAATTAACCTTAGCGAAAGTTTTATCTATTTTTCGTTAAGAATAAAATACTTTAACTTTAGTGAAGAACCATACTTGATCACTGCTAAAGCGAACATAACTCGGTAATTGACATATATCTCCAAAGGTTATAAGTTCGAATCTCACCCCCACATGTCGTACTAAAAAAAGAAAAAAACATACTTGATCACCGAGCAATTCTCTCTTCTTGATCATAATTCAAATTTTGATAAGAAAGAGGACATAAAAAACCAAATAGCTTTGTCAAAATTTTAGCAGGGATAATGGTGCCTAGCATTGTTCCTTAGCAGAAAAGTAAACTTTATTTGTTGAGTTATACTTGAATTTGCAGCTTAAATGATTAGTAATTTAGGCATATTTTTAATTGAGTATTTATAATTTTAAAAATTTTGATTTAACCTCTATAGTTTGGTTAAACTTYACATATCGTCGTTGTATCACTAAAATGATTACTACTTAGTTTTTTTTTTAATAAATTTTTTCACTTAGTTTAAAAGTAAATCAAATAGAAATTACTAATTCTACTTAAATAGAAAATGTTTCATGCATCTAATAKGGGAATATAAGCCATGAGGAGAAATATTTAAAACTACAGGGAGATTGAGATTGAAATTGAATATTCTAAATCGAAGTTTTTTTTTAAAAAAAAATTATAATTTGAGGTTCTGGTTGGCATTAAAAGAATGGCAATGATGGGGTTGGGACGTGTGACAGCTTTATTGGCATTATAATAAAGTAAARGTTGAAAGTTCCATCATTTTTTAGATACAAAGATTGGAATGTTCTGGATGGGAATTAGGAATTTCTACAATAAGACAACCCTCATTCTACCATAAATATAATTAACTTGGTTTTATAAATTAAAAAAAATAATCCCAACGAGGTTGGTTTGGATATATATATATATATATAATTGGGGTGAGAATTCAAATCTCAAATGAAATTATAAAACATAAATCAATAGATGAGATATATTTACCACTATTTTAAATGTGGATGATTCAATCTCCAATCTCCACAATTATTAAATACAAATAAAATAATAAGCATATCATTTTAAATGAAAAATGAGAAACAAAAACAATTACCAAACGTTTATGTTTTTAAAAAATTATTAAAAATAAGAAATAAGAAAATAAAAATGTTACATACAGACCCTCAGTGATGGTTAAGAATCACATGTTTAAGTGACTTAACAAAAAAATTATAATTTATTATATATATGAGTCACACTTTTCTAATTATCAATTGGTTTGAAGATAGTACTCATTAATATTAATATGATATTAGATTCAACAAGTATCCAATCTAAAAAGAAGATCCGATCAAGATTAGTGAACCAAAAAAGTCACCATATTAAAAAAGTATGTTAAGAATTCTACCTTCAAAAAATAAGRGACTTGATAAAAGTTTATAATATATCTAGACTACCCTTCTCGTCGCTAATTAATTTTGAGATAAACTGTATAATTATTAATAGTTATGATTTATTTTTCCTTAAAAAGTCTTACATTCTTATCGATGTTTTCGAAAATGTGCTATTTCTAGACAGTACAAATTAAAAATAAAAATTTCCATACGTTTTTTTAAATGGAGGAGAATCCACGTGGAATGTTCCATTTTGCAGGGGAAATTTTTGTATAAAACCCTTTTTGCTATTTCCTTTTTCTTTTTCCACCCTCCTTTTCCTCTTTTTGATAAAGTGCGTGTGGGACAAAATTATGCCATATCCACCTACATATATAAGTACGACAAAATCAATTTTATATAATTTTTTTATTAGAGACGGTAATAAAAAATAAAAAAAAAATCATATTTATGTAAAATTTTACGTGAATAATAGTTACATTTAAAAGGACAAGATCTCGACACGTGGACATTTTATAGACCAATAAACTAGCTTATGAAGGCTGAATTTTACCAAAGACATGTCATCATTAAGTCAATAATTGTGAACTCCATGAAAAAAGTTCAGAAACCATAAGCTTCGAGCTATCCAACCTGAACGACCTGCAACAATGTTATCGAACGAATTCCTAACGTTCGAATGGTAACTGTTCAACTATATCTCCACCTCAACGTGTATCTCACGTCTAGAAATCTTGATGATAACCGTCGAGTTGAGCACACGACTCCAACAATTATCTCTTCTTCTAAATAAACAATATCCAGAAATGAAATAAAAGAGGCGCCCAAACATTTTAATTTGAGATTTGTCTTTTAGAATTCTTTACCGATGAGATCTTCASAATATTGCTAACTCTTTGTTTTGTAGGATCATCCATCATCTTCGAATGTTCGGGAAGATTTAATGTTTTGATTAAAAAAAAAAGTTAAAATACTAGCAATCCACCGTCCATGGAGCTAATATTATTATTATGTGAGTTCCACAAAGGAATAGGATCCATTAGAAGAGTTTTAGTTTTAGTTTTTTTTTTCTTTTTAAAATAAATAAAAACGTAATTGGTGGATAATAATAATTAATCCACGATAAAATGACAGGTAATAATAATATATTAAAAAGTGGTCGGCTTTAAATTTATTCATCATCAATTATTTCATCCAACTACTACATCGAATAATGGATGATGATGATAATAATTTTAAGGATTTTTTTTTCGCTCATTCACAACATGAATTTTACTATTTTGTTAAGTATTGGTTATCGTAGTCGTGTGTTTATTTTTTTTAGCTAATTTAAACAATTTTGTATTGAATTAGGCTAATTACGTTTGAATATTTTGTTACTTTGAATACCGTTTGATTTACTATTTAGTTTATGAACAATTTTATAGATTAGGTTTGGTAATCTAAGTTTAAATTTGAATTTGATAGAATTGAAATTTTGATATTAAAATTGACTCATTAAGTTAAATCCATGTGAAGGAAAAAAAAGGGATTTACACAATTATTAGGTTTAAAATCGGTTTTAATTCATAAAATTATACCTCATTATTTATTTTATTTTATTTTAGTAGTTATACTGATATTTTTTTTAAATCTTTATTATTTTACTTTTAGTCATCATTATTATTTGAGTAGATTTGCAATTTTTTAAAATACACTAGTACGTTGAAGTGGAGATTTAAATTTGTAATTTTTTAGTCGAAAATATATATACAGTTGAGCTATATTCGGGTTGATTTTATAATTTACATTTTAAATAGTCCCACAAAGTTAATTTTTTTTTTAATTTGTCACCTAATTCATCAAATTGATAATTTTAGAAACAATAAAGTACATCACTAGACAATATTGGGTGGAAATAAATAAAAAGAAAAAAGAAGAACGTAATAGTAAACAATATTTTATTGGTGACATTGACGTCTTCCATTTTGTTCAGCTCTTAAAGATAGGTTAACTGATTAAGATAATTTATAAAATAAATAAATAAATAACATAATGATGCATTGATTTGGAGAAGACAACTAATGCTTGTAATTGGCCACTTAAAAAAAAAGCAAACTATTTTAATGTTTCAAATTGTTAATGTCGTCGTGCAAAAGTATGCACCTAATACAAAATTGATGAGAGAGAGAGAGTTTAATAAGTCTAAATTATTATTATTATTATTATTTTGAGAAAAACTAAGTCTAAATTATTGAAAATTACATACGTAACTAAATTATAAATATAAGTCGAGAAAATTACTTGTTTCGACTCGACAATGATTATTAGATCATAGAGGTCCCTAACAAATATATATGTATATTTTAAATTCATAATTTCTGAACCTCAACTAATTTTGATCGCTAATTTTTCACATATACGAATTTGGTTTCTAATGTCTTAAAAAATTTTATACTAACCCGCAAATTTTAATAAGTTAATCTTTGCTATTAAAAATATGAGTAAAAATTGAATATTATACCGGACTTGCTTAGTAATTGAAGGAAAAAACACATTAAAATAGTAATTATAGACGATCTCCAAGATATAAGGGCTAAATTTGAAGCTTCTTAAAAATTAAACTTTTTTTTTTTTTTTAATTTTAACTTTAGGGATGTAAATTTCAGGATAGGAAATTTATGGTAGCGGCAGATGGACAGGAGGATAAGAAGAAATCCAAGTGATAAGGTTAAGATTCAATAACCATATTTACCCTTCAAATTTTAATTTTAAAGGTTAAAAAACTTATTAAATATCAAAATCTATATTAAAAAATTATTAATAATTTGTTATATTATCTATTTTTTCAAAATTTGATTTTAAAATATGGAGCATCAATTTTAAATTAAATTTTAGTGGTTTAAATTTCATTATTCATTATTTGATTAGTTACTGTTGATTTCCTATAATTAAGGTCCGCTGTTTTTGTTAATTGCTCTATAAAAAAAATTCATAAAATTAAACACATGCTTAATTTGTTATAAACACATGTACTGAATTTGTTATAGGGATATATTTGTCTAAAATATTATTTAAAAT